GCAGTCAAAAATTTTAGAATACTACCCAAAACCCCGAAAGAAATAAAATCATTTCTTGGCCTCGTAGGTTATTATAGGAAGCAAAAATCACAAAACCTTCAACGAATTGTTTAAAGGAAAATGTCAAAGTAATTCATGACAAAGCATTCATCACAGCTTTCAACCATGTAAAGACCTTTTAACGGCGGTGACGTCATAATCTTTTGGAGTCCGTTTAAATTGGTGGGTAATGATATCAAATTTTATTATTTTTTGCTTCTTTAACTGTGTCGTTCAGGTACCTATTTTTTTATCACAAGGGTTTATTTTGATTCCATAAATCGAACAGTGCATTGAAAATAGTTAAATTTTACTATGCTTAAACACCGGATTTCAAGACGGATACAGCAAACATCTCAGAAACGGAAACAGTTCATACTTCTGCAGAAAACCCTATTTTAGGAGCACTCTACGTTAATAAGGCAGTGAAGACATTTGAAAATCAAATTATATTCAAATGGACAGCCAAAGACAAACCTTATGTAAATATAACAAAATTATCCGAAACAAGAAGAGAATCCTAATTTTTATAAATAAAAAACCAATAACAGGAGAAAAACAAATACTTTTAAGAGATTATTTACCACTAGATACTTAGGTACTTATTGTTTACATTTTCCAAACAAAGATTTAGAACCTGTGATGATAAGAATTTTCCAGGAAACATTCAAAAACAATTTATACAAACTAGTCATCTCAAACACTTTACTAGAAGATATAACACACCAAGATGATCAGCAAGAGATAATAGATAGACACCATGCAACAAAAACTTCACAGAGGTAGAGGAATGACCGAAAATATCAAGCAAAGATATTATTGGCCGAGTCTAGAAAGAGACGTGATTAGTTTTGTGAATGCATGTGAAATATGTCAGAAATAAAAATACGAGAGACATCCTTACAAAGTAATTTATAAACCAACACTATTAACAGTCGCACTGGAACCCTAACTGGGTACCCGGAGAACATGGAACAGGGGGGTTAGCAACTGACCCCAGGTTTTCTTGAATTCGGAACAGGGGGGTTAGCGACTCAACGGGTACGTGATTTGTAGAAAAAAAGTGAAAAAATCAGTATATTATTCAAAACTAATTTTCAAAGTAGCTATATATTTATTTTGACGTCCTCTATAGCTTGAGCGATTACCTATATCAATTTGACACAACAGCTTGCCTAAGCATTTTATAGAAGAACTTTTTTTCTAGATTTTTGTTTTGGATTATCTCTTGCCCAGTTCTCATTAGCTTCTATAAAAAGAATGTAAAAATTATAGGCAACTATATCAATCAAATTGAAAAAATCGCCATCAGCCATTTTCTTGTGTCTCGCCGATGACTGTACGCGTAATAGTAACATCTGACGAAGGTCAAATATTTTACCAATCCCAACAAATTTTATGTCTAGGGGTTGCAAAAACACGTAAAATAAAAGTCCTAAACGGGTTTTGAAGATAAAGGAAAAATGAGTAACTAATGCTAAAGAAATTAAACTGGGGTCATTGCCTGACCCCCCTGTTCCAGGTGCGACTGTTAAGGGATCCAAACCCCTTGAGCATATTTATATAGATATCGTCAGGTCAGAAATATCTAACGATAATAGACAATTTTTCTAAATTTGCCGCAGCATACCCGGTAAATGAAACATCGATAGAGAATTGTCAAAGTTTATTCAAATTATTTGCGCATCATGGTTGGTACACTAAGTAAAATTACCACTGATAAGGCACAAACTTTCAAGAGTTATCTAATACAAGACCTTTGTAAAACGTATAGGATTGAATTGCATTTTACTACACCGTACAATCCAAATTCAAACTCGCCGATCGAAAGATTTCATTATAGCTTTACGAATTGACCATCGTACCATAATACAAGAATTAATTGATATAGGAATTTTGAACTAGGTATAACAACAGTATTCATTCAGCACATGACTATACCCCTTTTCAGATAGGTATTGAAAGGAAACGTCAATTATCAATTAAACTAAACTTCGAAAAAGACCTAAATCAGCTTCAAACTGATTACGTTTATGAGCTTGCTCAAACATTCAAGGAACTTAATGAGAAAATAAATTCAAAATTAAATGCCAAAAAGACAAATGTGTTAAGTAAATTGAATGAAAACCGTGAAAATGACCCAGAAACACCCAAACCTACACTACAACTGATAAGTACACCGCGAAAATTACCTTTAAAAATACAACCTAAGTATAAGAAAGCTATATTCAAAAATCAAAGACATCCCAAGGATATTAAAAGAAGATCGTAATTTTCAGGAATATGAAGATAATTTTCGTATTCTTCACAGTACTACCGCTACTCATCAATGCTCAATATAAGATCGAAGAAATAACAAATCCTTGGCTACCAGTCTACCAAGGACCTAGTTACATAATAATCAATTATCATCATGTTTATTATCATGTGAATTTAATTAATATGAAAGATTGCATAGAGTCAACATAATTAACCCTTTTACAAGTTAATAAAACTTTAAGCAATTCAAGTATTATATCACCTTATTTACCTACACACTTAATTGTAAGAGCAAATAATTTAATTGATCAAGAAAAATCAGTCGAATTATTTATCGATCATTATACCTACAACTCCACAAAAACCAAAAGAGGACTCTTTAACTTTTCAGGGAAGACACAAAAATACCTATACGGCACGTTAGATGCTGGTGACGGAGAACGTTATGATAATTACATCAGAACCCTCCAAGAAAATCAAAACACATTATAACAAGACATATCTTCACCCCAGACAATTGTTAAAAAATTGACCGAAAATATAGATACACAATTAAATAAAATTAAAAGTAACCAAGAAACTTTGTCAACCCGAGTTAATGATCTCTTGACAATAACGCAGTCTGAGACAACAACGACGTACTTCATTCTCTTACTTGATGACTTAGAAAATAATCTACGTATCATTCATGAGACACGCACTAATGTATAAACGGCAATTAATTTCGCAGAAATAAACATAACGCATCACAGTATATTGAAGTATCAAGAGCTACGAGCCATAATCTCAAAATTTGATCCCAGCTCTCGAATTCCTTTTAATAACATTATAAAATACTATGAAGTTGCACACGCAGACGTCATTATTAAGAATGACCTAATCATATTCTACGTTGCAATTCCTTTGATATCAGATAAACCTTACATTCTTTATCGCATATATCCAATTCCACTACACACCCAGATAGCGATATTAAGAAACCCTTATTTGATGAGATCTAATGACAACTTAAATGATATAAAAAAAAACTGTCTTAAAATCGAAGTCATATCATTATACCACATCAAATTACTCAATCAAAATGAGCCCTGCGTTTATCAAACAATGAATTTAACCAATCATTGCCCAATGACTCCTATAGAATATGAGGAAACTTCTGTCCCACAATTAGATGACAATTCCCTTATGCAATCCCAACATCAAAAGAGCATTTACTTCCAATGTCCCAGCTAACATAGCGTTGAAGTAATAAGTAATATTTCATTGATTTTACCCTCAATTTGTAAAGTCAAAATTCAAGGAAATAAAATATGATTCCCAAAAACCAGACATAATCAATTTGAGACTAAAACTACCATCAATAAATATCGATGAAAGGTTGATACAAAATATCGAACCTTTACAATTAACAGAAATAAATCTTGGAACTATAAGAGAAGATTTAGAAAATGCTAAAAAACTAACTATCCACCCTCTCAAGGAATTCGATATTGGTAGTTCAAGTTCATCCATAATTGTAATTATTATATTAATCATTGTAATCATAGTTATAATATTCTTTGTATGTCGTCATTATAATTATTGTAAGAAAAATCAAACTGATGTAAAAGTGGGCATAGAATTGAAACCTTTCGAAAATCATCCCCAATTTTCTCAAACTTAGTAAGGGAGGAATTATATGGCCACTTCTGACGACGTATTATTAAAATGAGGAGTTTTAGCAAGCTTTCGCTTATTCAGCATTTATTATTATGGGTGGAAAATTAAAAAGGATCCACCTAGATTTTCTCGAAAATTATCAGGAAATTAAAAAAATACCGAAACACGTCGATTTTGTTTGCAAGGGGGACACTTTTTCGCTATTTCAAAATTTTCCTAGATTGCACCCCCTTACCGGGGTGAGTTGCACCCTCAAAAGTTGAATAGGGAAACTGGGTCGAGTGGTACCTTGTTTGAGAGGTATTTGAGATGACTTTACAGATCTGTCATTTTTTTCGAAATCTGACTTCTAGTTTTCAAGATATTCGCCTCGGAAGTTGCCATGGGACGAAAAGAGAACGTGTTTTTCGTGAAAAAATTAAAAGTGGGTCATGTTTGAAAGGTTGATCAAAAGGTTCAAACTAACAAAGAAACAAAGGTTCAAAATAAACAAAATTGACGTGTTTCAGGAATTTCAATTTTTTCTTGTAGAAATGTCCGAAAAACACGTTCTCTTTTCGCCCCATGGCAACTTCCGAGGCGAATATCTTGGAAACTAGTAGTCAGATTTCAAAATAAATTACAGATCTGTAAAGTCATCTCAAATACCTCTCAAACAAGGTACCACTCGACCCAGTTTCCCTATTCAACTTTTGAGGGTGCAACTCACCCCGGTAAGGGGGTGTAATCTAGAAAAATTTTGAAATAGCCAGAAAGTGTCCCCCTGGCAAACAAAGTCGACGTGTTTCGGCGTTTTTTTAATTTCCTGATAATTTTCGAGAAAATCCAGGTGGATCCTTTTTAATTTTCCACCCTGTATAAATACGGGATTGTAGCAGTATAGAATTCAGTCTTTAAGTCACCTTTATCATAGAAACATATATATGTAATTTCGTGTTTTAATTAAAATATAGTAATGTAATAAAACACAAGTTGCATTAAAGTAAATATAATTGTATACTTATATATAATCAAAATAAAAATACTTTTTTTTTAAAAAAATTGCGAATTTTATTACAAATTATTGTCTTACAACAGACCTATTACTAGATACATCCAAAGCAATAATATATTGCCACGATAATATCCTTAATCACGCCGGAAACGCACTTTTCGTCTTTTCCGATTTATCCAAACAATCATGAATTTCCTGTAAAGTCTTCCCTTTGGTCTCAACAACCCATATAGAAGTATACAAGGCCATGAAAGCCATTGCACCAGCAAATAAATAAAATCCGCCTCCAGTGCCGATTGAAGCAGTAACATCACTGAAGAAAAAAATTAATAAAAATCCGATAAAACAAAAAGTGGCCATTACCGTAGCCGACCCAACGGATTTTACATTCAACGGTAAGATCTCGCCCATATACAAAAAAGGAACGCCTCCCATGCCTGAATTAAACAAACATACAAAACACATAAGACAAGCGATTGGAAGCCATTTTAAAGATTCAATATTGTCGCTGTTAGCCGTTTTGAATCTAAAATACGTAGCCAAAATCCCAAGAGTAAATGCCAGACCTGTCGAGGAAAACACCATCATTTTTTTCCTTCCCAACTTGTCAATTCCAAAAGTTGTAATAAAAACTGTTAACAATTGGGCTACTCCAACTAAAATAGCCGACACAACTGTATTGTAAGTACTGCCAGATTCTTCAAAGATTAATTCAGTGAAAGAATAAATAACATTCACACCTGAGCATTGAGACAGAGCCACTACAAGAAGTGCCATTAGAAATGCCCTCCGAGTCACGTTAGTCTGAAATATAGCTAACAGCCCATCATGGCGTGTTTTTGCAATATTATCCTCAATTTCTTTAATTTCACTTTGCACGTTTTTTGAACCTTTAAAAATTTCAATTGATTGTCGAGCTGCTTCAATTCGACCTTTTTGCAATAAAAAGTAAGGCGACTCTGGCACATATAATAGTGTTCCAAAAAAACCAACCAAAGCTATAGCAAAAATTATCAAATTAAAAACTTGTATTGACGTATAAGGTCCAACGCAATAAGACAAAAGTGCACCCAAGTTAATAGATATTGATGTTGTTGTAAATAACATTCCTCTGTTATGACTTTTGCCAATTTCTCCAAAATAAATCGCACCCATAGCAATGGCAGAATGCGAACCCATACCTCCGACAAATCTAGCAACGTAAAACCACCAAACGTTTTTGCCAAAAGCGGCCATCAAACCGGAAAACATGTTTGGTAAATGGACTGTCGCTATTGCGAGTTTTCTTCCGAATTTTTCCATCACGAAGCCGGTCAGAGGTGGTCCAAATATGCCTCCTAGAGAAGCCAGAGCTGCTATCCAGGATTTTTCTTGTGTGGTTATCAGTCGGCCTAAAGGATTTTCACTTAGAGTTGTGTTTGAGAGGAGTTTTGGTAGAACTGGTGATGGCCATGTTAACATCACGCCAGCTAGGATACTGATGAAGTTGACTGAAAAGGGGAAATATTATTTTATGTGGATTCTTTTCGTGACCTCAGTGTATAATCTTATTCAATATTTTAGTTGGATATAGGTAAAAAAAACACTCTTCAGACAATCAATGTATATATTTTGTTGACGTTTCGATCTCTATGAGATCATTCTCAAGACTCTTGAAGTTTTTTTAAATTAATTAACCTAAGTACCTATAAGAACACTCAACAAGGGAAATACAGAATAAAAACTCAACAATCACTATGTAATATGTATGTTTAAGATCTAAAATGAATTACTAGGTCGATAAAATAACAATTCGTACGTGTTTGCAATTAAAAGAATTGTTGTACATTTGAAATTAAAACTTGTTCAGTTTTATAAATCTGACATAAGCACTTATTACATAAATAAAAGAGCAAAAGCATCAATTGATTAAACTTAACAAAAACCAGAAGATATATTAAAAAAAAAGAGAAAAAGGCAAAAAACACACACAAACCAACAGGCAGGTTAAAAATACACTTACATATATAGTAGATCATCCTCGTTGAACTTGAAACCGTAATGATACAATGATAATAATCATGGAAATTGGAAAAAAAAATTATGTTTTCCGAATGACAATGAGAAAGTGGGACTTCGAAACCAGCCGTTTATATAAACAAAGTCTTGAGAAGCCCTCACCTCACGACGTTCCAGAGTTGGAAGAATTCATGAAATTATTGGAAAGAAGATTCCAGTCACTAGAAACTATTCCAGGATCAGAACGGAAGCCAAGCTCAGAGAAAAAATACACTAACTCAAGCTGTCTCTTCTACCAAGACCAACACATGACGTACCACTGTCAGAAGTTCGAAGGAATTTTAGCACAAGAAAAAAATAGATATGTTCAAGAAAAACGCATTTGCTAGAATTGTCTCAGCCATGACATCAATAAGATATGTTTCAGCCACGCAAAATGTAGCATCTGCAGTCGTCAACACCATACACTCCTACACATGGAAAGACAGCAACAAATTTCCAACAGGCAGCCCAACTACGAAAAAAGACCGACAACTTCCCAACCACGAAATACTTAACGATACCCACCACCAAGAAGAGCAGAACATTACCCACCAAGAGACGCAATGTCTAACCACGCCAGTAGAAATGAAGAAAACGTCCTACTCGCTACTGCTCTAGTAGAAGTGAGCACATCAAGTTCCCCTCAAGTCTTGAGGATTCTCATTGATCAAGGGTCACACATATCTATTATTACTGAAGAAGCTGCAAATCGGCTGGGATTACCACGTCATAACATCAGAGCACAAATCTCAGGAATTGGTGACGGAGACCCAAAAGTCTTTAAATGGTCTATTGACGCACAAATCAAACCACGAGTTATAAGCACGTTCTCCATGGATGTCAATATGATTGTCCTTCCAAAACTTACTAAATCCATGCCAAAACGACACCTACACATAAACAGCATAGATAGTTGGAAGAATGAAGTGCTAGCCGATCCAACATTCATGACACCAGGAGCAATAGATGGTATATTAGATGCAAAGGAATACGCCAATATCACTTTAAACGGCATGCAAAAAAGTACAGAAGACCTGTTGAAAAAAAACACAGAGCTAGGATGGATCGTTTCTGGCCCAATAGCATCCAGATCTCCCGCCATCCAAGTTGTCAGCATGATCACTCACTATGAAGATAGACAGCTAACCAAGTTCTGGGAATTGAAGAAATAACCCAAGCGTAGCACCTAACAGAAGAAGAGCAAGCATACGGAGAGATTTTCGAGGAAACCACAACTCAAGACTCCGAGTGTAGATTCATTGTTAGTATCCGATTCAAACAGTCAGCAGATGTATTAGGTTACTCTAAACCAAGAGTAGCAGCACGATTCAAGCACATCGAGAGAAAGTTAAATCAAGATCCCAGTTTACAAGAACAATATTCTGCATTTATGAAAGAATACATAGAGTTGGATCATATGAGAAAAGTCACCCGACATGAAGTGAATCAAGGAAAATACCTATTACATCCCTCATCAAGCAGTCATCAGAAAGCCAGCACAACAACGCAACTAAGAGTAGTTTTCGATGCATCCTGCAAAAGCTCTACCAACATCAACCTCAATGACATCATACACGTCGGCCCAAGACTGTTACAAAACATCGCCGACATACTGCTGCGTTGGAGAAAGCATGAGATTGTGATCTGCGCAGACATATAGAAAATGTACAGGCAGATCCGAATTCATCCAGACGATCAACAATTCCAGAGAATATTATGGAGGGAGCATCCACAGCAACCAATGTATGAATACGAACTGACCACTGTAACCTACGGTACAGCCTCAGCACCATATCTAGCCATCAAGACACTAAAGAAGCTTGCAATCAAAGAATAAAACAAATTTCTGGCAGCAAGCCAAGCAGCATTAAGAGACTTCTACGTCAATGACATATTATCATGAGCAGCAGATACAGAATCAGCTCTAGAACTACAGAACCAACTACTAAAAATGCTCAGCCTTGCTGGATTCAACCTAAGAAAATGGTTTAGAACAGAAAATAAAAGAACTACTTCAAAAAGACTTCTCTGGGCGTACTATGATCACCAGCAGACGATACCTTCAAATTCCAAGTCAAAGTCTTCGATATACGCGAATTAACAAAACGACAAATTTTGTCAGAAATATCCAAGTTATTCGACCCCTTAGGATGGTTGTCTCCAATCGTAATACAAGCTAAACTCATCATTCAAGACTTATGGCTAAGAAACCTGAGCTGGGATGAGCCTGTAGATCAAGAAATATATTCAAGATGGATACAGTTTCAGAGCCAAATAAAAGAAGTAGAAAAAAACAAGATTTCGGGATGGATACATCTGCGAAAAACAAAAACTGAACTTCACGGCTTTTGTGATGCATCAGAAAAGGCCTATGGTGCAGTGATCTACAGTCGGATATGCGAAGAAGATAGGTGAATTATAACGCTGCTTCAAGCAAAATCAAAAGTCGCTCCAGCAAAAAACAGAACAACCCTACGTTGATTGGAACTATGTGCCGCAGTCCTACTATCAAAATTAATTCAAAAAACTAAGACAGCACTTCAAATGGGTGACACCCAGATCATCGCTCGGACCGACTCCATGATCACTCTTGCCTGGATAAAGGGTGACTCTACGAGATGGAAAACCTTCGTGGCAAATAGAGTTTGCAAAATACACAGAAACGCCCCTCAAGCATCCTGGAACCACGTCAAGCCAGAATAACTACAATGAGCTGATCTGTGGTGGAAATCCTCATTGGCTGATGATTCTCCGTGAAATCCCCACAACAGACAACATTCCCGACATTCAAGAAGAAGTAAAAGCCACATGTCACAAAATTGAAGTTACGATAAGGAGCGATATATGGGAACGCTTCTCAAACTTGACAACGATGCTCAGGGTTTTATCCTACTGCCGTCGATTCATCAAAAAAAGGGAAAGTCTTACTCTATCCAGTCAAGAAGTTCAAGACACTTTCGAAAGAATCATAATAATAGTCCAACAACAAGAGTTTTCCGAAGAATACAAGTCTTTAGAACAGAAGAACGCAGTTGACAAGAAAAGCAAGCTACAGACCCTCAACCATCGACAGCAAGGGCATAATCCGAGTCGGAGGAAGACTCTAACACTCACCTCTTCCCTACGATCAACGACACTCGATGATTCTTCCGTACGATTTTCACATATCTACGTTGGTGATGAGAAACGCACACAAGACCACGCTACATGGAGGCAACCAAGCGACATTGTCGTACATACGAAGCAGATTCTGGATTATTTATTGGAGCAGCACGCCTATTCGAAAATGAAATCACAAAATTGATACATTCACAATCTGTGCAAAGCACAATCGTCAACTTAGGAACACAATGGTCCTTCATTCCACCAGCAGCCCCACATTTCGGACGAACATGGGAGGCTGGTGTAAAATCTATGAAACACCATCTCAAGAGAGTAATTGGAGACTGCAGTTTGACCTATGAAGAATTAAAAACGTTGGTGTATCAAATCGAAGCATGTTTCAACTCGAGACCACTCTACCCGCTAACAGAAGACACAGATGATTTTAACATCTTGACCCCATGACACTTTCTCATAGGAGGAGAACTTCTAGCACCACCAAACTTGGAATCGACAGAACATTTAAGCCTATCTCAACAATGGAGACACGTGCAAAAGTTAAAGAAAAACATTTGGAGCGCATGGTGCACAGAATACCTCACCAGACTGCAGCAAAGATACAAATGGAAGAATCAGACCAACAATCTACGAGTAGGAACAATGGTCCTAATCAAAGAAGAAAATATAAACCCAAACCGAAGGCCTTTGGGGAGAATCATAGAAACTTAGCAGGGACAAGATGGAGCAATCTGAGTGGCAACAATAAAGAAAGCAGGTGGCTCACCACAAAAAAGACCGAGCCACAAATTAATCCCATTACGGGGTACGGAGATCAGACCGACTAGGAAACGTAGCATCAACATCAGCAAAATCATATGTATTGTTTTTCCTAAGAGCTATAATTATGATGATTACAACCGCCGCTGCAGAAATAGGGCTTAAAATTAACTATCCACAACATGGTTTTAGGTTTTGTATAATGTTGACTTTTTGTTTGAATAGAGTTATAATTGAGAAACCTTTCCGAAAAAGTTGGTTTTTGATACCATTTTGTTTTTATTGTATTATTTTCGGTTCTAACAAGTAAGACATCAAGAAAAGGGATCGAGTTGTTAGATTCTTTTTCGATCGTACTTTTGAAAAAGGGTAGTTGAAAGGGCAATGGGTTTATACATATTCTCTGGAGTTCGTTCATAATAATGTCTGAGCATACAAGAGATAAACAATTACCCATTTCCAATCCAAAAATCTGCTTGTAATATTGTCTATTAAAATTGAAATAATTATTATCGAAAACAAAATTCAAAAGTTCAATAAATTTTTGTAATGACAACTTACATCTGTCTTTTATTAGATCCCACTTTTCTGTTGAAATTGTGATGACAATGTCTGTTGGGATGTTGGTAAATAAGGAAATGAGATCTAATGAAACTAATACATAATTTGATGGCAATAGGAAACTCTGTAATAGGTTAACAACTTCAAAAGAGTTTTTTGTATAGTACTGATCTTTCTGGCACCATCAATTAAATAAGCTAGAAACTTAGTTAGTTTGTAAGTTGGGGATCCAACAAAGCTAACTATGGGTCGTAATGGAATCTCTTCTTTATGAATTTTTGGCAAGTAACACACTTAAGTTTTTTTTCCTTCTTCCTGTCTTAAAGCAGAAGAAGGTAGAAGCCTTTCCTTCCAAGATCTTGTTCATTTTGTTCTGTATTGTTATTGTTGGATCTTTATCAAGTTTGAGGTAAGTTTTTACTTTTAGAATTTTAGAGTCTTGAGGATGATCTCATAGAGAGACAAAATATATACATTGATCGTCTGAAGTGTGTTTTTTTTACCTATATCCAACTAAAATATTGAATAAGAATATTATTTTAGTTGATTTTTGAACAAGTGGTCCATTAAAAGTGCGGCTCATTATCAATCAGTTTTAGGGACATTTTTATGATAAGAGGATTAAATAATTTTTAATTATCATTTATCAAAGAACGTCAGAGATTTAGGGATAATTTTGAAGTATTTTTTTTTAAGTAGTTTTTCCACGAGTCTAGGCCTGAAGCTTTATGTTCTAAAAAAGATGGATTGTAAAAAGTTTATATTCATATCGTACCAAACGAAGCAACAATTAAAGCTGATTGCCTAATGATCTCTTTGGAAGGAACATTTTTTTTTCCAAAAAAATTCCAACAATGAAGAAACTGTTAACCACTAATAGTACTGTGGCGCTTTCGCAAGCATGCACAGTATCAAATATGAAATCTAGAATTTACTGCCTTTTTCAGGAAAAGAGATTATCGCGTTTATTCTGGATTCAACAAGAATGAAATACGGATACATAAAGGTAGGTCTGAGTTAATTATTGAAGTAGTTAGTGTAAGAGTGTTGTAGTAACGTGGAAGAAGAAATTCAAAATTGTATTTTGTTTGATCAAAATCAAGTTAATACAGTAAAAACTACGATCAGTACAAGAGAAAGAGTTCAAGAAGTTAAAATCACATTTAGCAAATAGCTGTGTTAAAATTAATCTAAACTGTAACAAATGTGGTAGAAGAGGACACATTGCTAAAATATGTATGAATTCTTCTGTTCCGAGAAATTCATCCTCAACTTATAGAAATTTAAATCAATTAGAATTTTTGGAAAAAGAAAATGAAGATGAATAATATTACCTTAATGCACTTGATACAATATATTTATCAGAAAATTTTAAAAAACCAAAGAAATATCTAGTAAAAGTAACTTTAGATGGAATCCAGCTAGAAATGGAGTACGATAATGCCCAACAAACACAACTTATCGGCGCTGTAATGTTGCTGTATCACGAACACAGCCCAAATAGAGCACATAAATTCTTTTATTAATGCTGCGCAGCACTTGTATTGGGAATACTGTATTTTAGAGGTGCAGTATTTGATATGCAGCGGCTTTGCAGATTTTGTATTGGAAAAGCGATAGATTATTTCGATCTCCCATGCGCATATTGATGCAACAACTGTTGTAAAATGTTAGTGCAGTTACTGTAAAGAAATATGCCAATCTGCGCGAGCACAGTATATTTTGCCCTTTGCCGTAGAGTTGTGAGCGTAGCCATTTTGTTTTATTTAATTGTATTGTATTGTTTCACTGATGCAGGGCAGCGTTTTTGATTTATAATTTTTGTGGTGTTTTTCACGTGTCTTTTACCTGTGATTTGTATTACTACGTGTACAAGATGCATTATTTTCAACAAGAGGAAACAAGGTAGGTGGAAAAAGGTCCCCGTATTATCATAACCTAAGTTTTCTATCGTTTTTCTATTTGCCCCCGTTTTCCGTTTTCTATTTTTGTGATTTGAAAAATGGATTTCAGAAGAGAAATAATCTTTCAGGTAAATAGTCTTGGAATACTAGGGGGCAAAAACACTGAAGAAGTATGTAGGAACACATTAGCCAAATTATTATCTAAAAATTCAACTCCTCAGCTGACAGGACAGGGTGCCTTCAAAAAGCACAATTTTCAGAATATACCTATATTATCAACATCAATAAAGCAATTTAGGTAAGTTGATGCAAGGTAAAACGGTTTTTAAGTCGTCACAAAGAACCAGCGAGATTGGGACAAACATTTGCCTCTATGTTTAATGGCTTACAGAGCATCTGTTCACGAGTCAACAGGTGAAATTTCAGGGGCCGTATTTTCGAACGAGTAAGATGGAAGTTGTACATCTAGACAGATTGACGAAATTTAATATCATGGGCGCGAAGTTGATTAGGACGATCAACCTTAAGAGGAGGGCAGTGTGGCGCTTTCGCCAGCATGTACAGAATCAAATCTGATGACAATTCAGGAAAAGAGATTATCGCGATTTAACAAGAATGGAATACGGATATATAAAGGCCGGTATTAGTTAGTAGTTTTTGAGTTCAAGATTGGCTCTGATACGTTTTAGATAGTGATTGTTGTAAGAGTTATAAAGAGTTTAGTTGTTTAAGATATTTAGTGAAGCAATTAGTGTAGTCATGGAAATGTTGTGAAGATAAAAATGAAACTTCAATAATAGATACAAGACTTACCAATCACGACGATAGCATAAAATCTCCAATTCCCAAAAAAGATCTTCATCTTTCACTGAAATCTACATAAATTGCCAAATCTCGACTAAAACTAATTCATATAAATACTGGATTTTTTAATAACCAACAGCCTATACATATACAATTACTGTTGTGATTATCTTATCTTAATTTTCTCACATTTCGCTAAACGCGCTTTTATCACTTTCAGATGATTTATTAATAAAATATTTTTTTCATACAATTGAAGGCTGCCGTTTTATTATCATGTTTTTTGATTGTGCCTCATGAAAAATCTTCAAAAATGTAACCATGGAATTATGGAAGCACCTTAAACGATGATAGATTTTTGAAACAAATTGCATCACATTCGGAATTGGTTTAGTGGGTCGTAAAGTCATTAAAATCGTGCATTCAATTAATCTAAATTAAACAAACTTTATTAAAAAAACCTTTTGTCTAACAAGCATAATAAAGAGAATCTGACTATTTCCAAAACTGAAATTTGACCAAAAGTTCTCGGAAAACAAGCAAAGGAAATTTTGCTCGGTTTTATTTTTCATTTTCAAAGTTTAATTTATCGTTTCAAAATCCTCGTCTGGTTGGCGCCCAAATTATCCTTTTTTGGCGCATTAGAAAACCAAACATCTTTCCGCCCTTTTAAAATCCTCAAAGAGATCTAATCAAAATTTAAAAACGAGTATTTTTATTTATAAAGCGTATCCAATAATGTGTGATATATTATTGTTTCAATGCGGTCGTATCGACCCGCACTTTCCAGCCAAATGGCCGAGTAACAGGTGTGTATCGAGCCCCTGGATAATGTTAGCCAGAAATGCCAGGCAGGCTTATCCTTGGATAGAGTTGCGCCACCTGATATTATCCTTTGTTAGTGTCATGTTTCTTGGTGAATTATGAGGTCAGATCTTAGCCGGGATTATTTATTTCATGTGGCAAGATAGAGTAAAGTCATTTGTTGCATGTGCACTTCATTAGTTCTATGGCGTCGATCATTTGTAAGTGAATAAAAGGAGTTTTATCAATGTTACACTACTAATTGATTTTAAATGACCGTTCAAACTCAATACTATTGTCCGGATTCACTTTAACTCACTTCACTCAATAGAATGTGCAACGGATCTTGTCCAAGGTCTTGTTGACTCCCATTATAAACTTCTTCTAAGACTCGAACAACTTTTGTCCTGAACACGACCAATTGCGCTTTGACAATTTTACCATTTGCGTTCTCCCAAGTACGTGAACCATTTTCGACTAGCAGGGATCATTGAGCCCACAGCGCCTTGAAAGTTGATTAAGCCTCTAGTTTTTCTTGCCAGGTTGGTCAGGATTTTCATGATTCCTTTAGATTCAAAAATGGCATGATGTCACTATCTTGTAATTGGTCACTCTTAAACTGTTCGGAACTCTATTCTTGATCCATTTCAGAGGGCTTCTTATGGAAAATCCTCCACGCTGGTTAATCCTGAGACAGTAAGCTGGGCATGGTCGCCTGGATAGAGCATCTGCGTTATTATGCAGTTTGCCAAAAAGTTGTCTGATTTGGAAATTTGAATAATCAGACATACACTTAAGATTGAGAACTTCAAAGATTTCAAAGACTAGACGCAAATTAAAAATACCTTTGAGACTCATCATCGAAGACTAAAGAATTCAAACACAGTTTATTCAAAGCAGAAAATAGGTATTGAAAGATTTTAAATGCCTTTTGAATAAAGGATTACTAAGGGTCATGACTTAAATTAAAGAATTTAGGATTTTCAGAAACAAAACAATGAAAACTCCAATAAAACACACTGAAGACAGCGTTGCCAGCAGCGTCTGATTTTTCGTAGGTACTAAATTTTGTGGAGTTTTCTTAACAGATTAAGATTTTACGTAAGAAACTAATTTTGGGTAGTTTTCTGAGAACTTATTGAAATGTACAAGGTTCATCAGATGTTGGTTGCTCTCTTCTAGTAGAGCATGCAGCCGATTAACAAATAGCTACGTTCGCGAAAATGATTGAGAACAATCAGAACTGTTTCGCATGTGCAAGTTAAAAAGCAAAATTTTAAAAGTAATGTTAGGGCGGAGCTAAATAGTATATTTCCTAACTAGTGCGGAAAAGAGACTTTCTGCACGAGTTAGGAACACTATTTTTTCTACGAGATGGAAGTTAATATTGGTTGCTATATATTTACCAATTTAAGATAATTTTTTTCACAGTATACCTGTATACCTGTAAGTAACTGTATACCTAAAAATTTTAGGTATTCTACTTTTCCGCATTAGTGCGAAAAAGTGGTACTTCCATGACCTGTAGGATGTAGGATGCAAACTCAAACAAGGCGCAAGGAGCAAAGTCAGTTCCTGTAGCGTAACCGCGGTACAGGGGGTTGAAATTTTCGGTTCTCTGGTTGATTCGAATCTAATTGTGAGAATTTTTTAATTAGTTGGGCATGCAGGAAAAACTTAATAGATTCCTGAGCGGCGTATAATAGCGTAATAAATAATTGCCTTAAGTAAATAGATCTGTTACGAACGTAATAGCGCTCGCAACGCTGACTGAAGATATTTTACAGATTCTAAAGTTTCTCAAGACTTGGGAGCCTTATGATTTATGACTGGAGACTGAAAATTTTAAAGACTCGAAGCTTAAGACAAAACTGAAGATATCGAACAGTGAGGGTTGATGACTGAACCCGAAAATAGCTTGAAAGTTTCATTTTTAAAGTTATCTCTCTCTGATATTCAAATCGTGGGCCCATTATTTCTCTACCCTTGATTGCTGAAATAATTTAGCAAGCAGCTCTGTATATATTTTTATGAATTACACAGGGTGTTTTCTAATTGAATTTCAATATTTGAGAGGTCTATTTTAGGAAGAAAACTTTACATAAACGTATGTCCTAAACGTCTTAACTCTTGAGATACAGGGTGATACAATTTTCAAAAATAATTTATTATTAAAAATTAAAATCTAAACACCGCTTTAGATAGGTAAAGTTTGTTTCACCAGGGTTTGTACTTGCCACCAGCATTTGTCTTCCTTGTTTAACAAATAAAAATTGACTGAAACAAATCAATGACGTCAAAAACGTTCGTCAGTTCTTAAACCAGACATCATTCATTTTAATTTGTCAAAAAAATTGAATGTGTCATATGAATTAATCTACGACAACCATTTATTGTCAAGTTTCAAGGTCAAGTATGAACCCTGGTGAAACGAACTTTAGGTAAGTATTTTAATGAAATTTGGCATTCATTTACTATGTATCATAGTAGGAGAGCCGGCAATATTAACAGGTATGTGATCGTTGCAATGGATAATTTTCACATAAAAGAATAGCTCATAGTTACCTTTAAACTGAATGGATGGGTGGCCTCGATTCTCATGGCCGCAACCCTTTGATGGCTGGGCGTAAACTACCCCTCTTTTTCCGAAGGAACAATGTTATCGTTGCAATAGCTGAAAATTGGTAGATATACAGGAATTGATTAAAAATATAGCGAGTCTAAAAAACAACAGCTCCCCTGGACATGATAACATTAGTACAAAAATTATAAAAGAAACACATGCAGAAATAGCCGATCCACTATTGCACCTGCTTAATTTGATATTGGAAAAAGGAATAGTCCCGACCCAGTTCAAAACATCGATTGTAACACCAATTCATAAAGCTAACTCTAAGGAAAATATAACACACTATAGGCCAATAAGTTTAATCACAAATTTTGCAAAACTTTTAGAGAAATCCCTCAAAACTAGACTAATCGATTTTATGAAACATAACAAGATTTTATCCCACAACAAGTTTGGTTTTCTTGAGGAGACCAGCACAGCAGATGCAATGCAATGCCTCAAATTTTACACTTTCCTCAGAATGGTTCACAAAATTGTCAGTAGGATAGTATTTTTCCAATTTTTAGAGCCAAATATGTTGAAGGAGGCTCAAACAAATATAGACAAACTATACAGGGTGAGTTACTAAGCGCGTGGTCGTTCATATCTCCTATACTAATGGAGATCGAAAAAAAAACTAAATACAAAACTTCTAGATAAACATGAGTACTACATTCTTAAATTATTTTGCAGTATACAGGGTGGCCCAATAACTAGTGGTGATACAAAGTTATGTTTTTTTAAATAACTCTCCCTGTATATTATAATTTTTTTGGATTCTGCGGAAGATTCTAGACATATTTCATGTACAATGTTATATACCTATCTTCAACTGTTTCGGAAATATTGACAGTTGAAAATTGACTTTTTTGCATCTTTGACAGACTGTGGAACCTAAACAGTTAATTTTAGAGAAAAGCGGCTTTCACATTCCTATCTTACATTTTCATAAGTTATCATTTGACACCAACTTTGGATTTAACCGAAGATTATTAATTTAGGCAGAATTTTTAATCATGGATTAAATTCAAGATTTGTGTCAAATGATAGTTTATGAAAAACTAAGACAGGAATGTAAAATCCGTTTTCTTGTAAAATTAACCGTTCTGGCTTTACAGTCTGTCAAAGATGCAAAAAAATCAGTTTTCAACTGTCAATATTTCCGAAACAGTTGAAGATAGGTATATGACATTGCAAATGAAATATGTCTAGAATTTTCCGCAGAATCCAGAAATGTCATAATATACAGGGAGAGTCATTTAAAAAAACCTAATTTTGTGTCACTACTAGTTATTGGGCCACCCTGTATACTAGAAAATAATTTAGGAATGTTCTTCGATCTCCATTAGTATAGAAGATATGGACCACCGCGCGCTTGGTAACTCACCCTGTATATTAGAAGCAAATATAGGGCATTTGAGTTAAAAAAGTTGAAAGTACGCAAAATTTCAAATTTGTTACAATAAACTTTTGTTTTTGACGATGGATTCTGAAAATTTAGTTAAAACTGCACAACTTTTGTGTTCACACCTATCATCTACCTGTAAAGGTAAATGCTGCAAGGGAGTGTCAAATTGTAACCAGACACCCTGTACATACAAATAGAATAGACTAGAAGTCCGTGATAAAATGACGCCATGAAATAAAATTCTGTTATACAGGGTGTATCAGGTTTAACTACAAAAATTT